ATTCAAACAACATAAGCAACAAACAACTAACAATTTGGAGCTTGCAGTCAACCGCTCACAGCAGCGACTGGCAATAACAGCACACTTGTCTATGATTTTGACTGGTTTGTCTTGCTGCAGTCAAATTAAGAGACATTTACATTACACCTAATCGCTTAGCTGTTGCTTGAGCTTATTCTTATTGTTGTCGCTGTTTTTGTTATTTTGCATATTAGGTATCTGCACACACGCAGCACACACATTCATTGAACCTGAAAACGAGGCAATCGCATTAAAAAAGTGGTAGCGCTAAGCAGTACACGTTTTTGTTGCTAGACACCGACACCAAGACACATACTTTGGCCATCAAAGACATTATATGGCCAACAATCCGTCCTTTTTTTTTACATTCTTGTTTTTTTTTTTTTCCTACTTTTGCCGCCTTCGGAGAAACACGTGATTTTTCTCTCGTCCGCTATTTTCGCAGCTCTCAGCTGCTGATATAAATAATAATCCGGCTGTCTTGTTAGCTGCTCGCCTGCCTATAAATAGTTAAAGCCATCAGTTGGTAAGCTTGTGGTGGCCTAACTTCATTTTTTGCGGTTTCGTGTTGTTGCGAACAATGCCAACAATTTCACATGTGACTTATGAGAATACTTGCACTGTATGTGCTGTTGACGAGTATTTACATAAAAATTATGTATGTACCTTTGTATCTGAAAGTTTTTATTGTTATTGTTGCATTTATTGCATAAATAAATTCCGATGTTCTCGGTTATCTTTCCTACCGCAATGCGCAGATTTCGCGCATGAAGCATTTTTTCCTACATAAAATCCGAAACCACGGAATAACGTGAAGCAAGAAAGAGAAGAGAAAACAAAGTGTGTGTATGGAATGACAAATACATCCTCGTTAATGTGGCACTGTAGGCTAATTGCACACATCATCGGGTGTACGTCAAATTTATCAAATGTTCGCCGCACTCCTAGACCTCATAAATTAAAAAGTTAAAAATATATATATCTCTCATATGTCTATACGTCCATGCGGTGAAAGTGCGATTACGGTCTCAAAACTTTCAATGCAATGAATGACAAATTTAAAAAAAACTTAAAAAAAAATAAAAATGGCTCGAGAAGTTCATCAACTTTTATCCAAAACCTGAATATTATTATCATTGTAATCACATCATATCCGCTGAAGCGTTGTGCATGCAATGATCCCGTTTTTTTTTTTTTTTTTTTTTTTTTTTTTTTTGAAGTTTGTTACTATTCCGGTGTGTTGAGTGTGCATATATGCCGAAGTTGAAGTAATGTTATAAAATGTTTCGATTTTTATGACATGTTGCGCTTAAGCGATTAAAATTGATATCCGTTTAGCAAAGGCAGACATAGCCGTTAACACGACAGTCATCGTAATCGATTTTCAAAAGTGTACTTAAACCTAATTCTCAATATCAGTTCTTACCTCATTCTCCTACATCAGAAAAGTGCTGGATGTTCGTCCCTCTAGCTATAGACATATGGATAAAACGTATTTTTGGTTCCTTTTTTATTGTTTTTTTTTTTTTTTTTGTTTTTGAGATTCAAACGTACATCAGTTATGCTCTGGAACGGCTGTGGTGTTACTGTGTTTTTTAGTAGCCTTTCCTTCCGTTTCAAAGAAACCATCAACAGAGAGCCGTTTTTCTTAAGCTGTTACCGTGGTTGCCTCACCCCCTAGACATGACATAATCCTGTGATTTCTTTTCCTCTTACTTTTCTTTAGTCGACTCAATACTTTATAATCTATCGAAAGATGATATGAAAAGGTGGTTACGTGGTACAACACATATGTATTCCTGCTCGTATCACATAATGTTTTAAGCACATAGCTGAACGAAAAGTAACTGCAGATGAAAAAACATGTATCAGCCACAGGCAAAGAAGTTCGCTAAACATAGAGGCAAAATGTTTTCTTAAACATGAAACTTTACACCGCTCTTTTCCTGAAATCATATTTATCGAGCTGAATTGGTTCCGCCCATCAACTTGCTTCAAATTGCAACTTTGAAGTAGCATCGAGCCATTTTTTAGAAAAAATTTTTTTTGCAAATCGAAGCTATTACTGGTACCTAATACCACCTGTGATACAAAGGTGTAATAAATTTGTGCAGATATGCATGCAATACTCAAAAAGACTTGACAAAGACTTGAGATAGGCTCACCGCTTATCACATCGATTGAGTCGGAATTTTTTTTGTCATTTGATTTAAGCGTGTCCGTCCGTCCCTGCATTTTGTTTTCTTATATTTAAGAAACTAGGGACTGTCATTTAACAGTGTTAACAACTTTGCCCACTTTCCATAAAACACTATATTTTGAAAAGTCGTAACAGAACTTGTTGTATTGACTATCATATTTAACGTTATGCCGTGGCCCACAATACTGTTTCTACTTATTTTGAAATGAATCTTCACCACATGTTTAGTCATATTTTTAGAATATGTATTGTTTGCTGTGCTAGCCGAGCACAAAAGAGGAAATTTTCATGTTCCCTGAGACTCTCTCGTATATTATATGCAAAACTTGCGTATTTAGACATTGACGGAGGTAAGTGCAGCAGCATTCGTTTTCATTGTGAGGCAAAATGACGCAAATGCTACTGCATTCCGTTTTTGAAGCCAATTATTTTTCATTTGATTCTTTATAAATTTGACATATTAACAATAATTAGTTGCAAAATTGGATCTGTATTATCGCGGATGTTGTGGCATACATGGCATACGCGCAATTATATTATCGCTATGCTTAAAAAACATCTCTACTTAGATTTCGGATACCACAACTACGTTTAAAATGAATTGGTCGTCAATTTTTGGATGTCACTGAGATTTGTGCTATCCGTCAAGTCATCTTTATTTTTCATACTAATCACCGAAAGATGAGAGATATATTCATTTTGTCGAAACGTTTGCAACGTCAGAAGCAAGCATCAGAGACCACACAAAGTTTATATATTCTTGATCAGCATCAAATTCTAAATGGATTTAAGCATGTCCGTCTGTCTGTCTGTCCGTCCGTATTTTGTCCGTTGAAAACATTCTTCTGGCCGAAAAAATGAAGCTATCGACTTCAAATATGGCAGAAACAGTGAAACAGTGGTTCTTGCAGTAGAACATCTTGAAAATGCACCATATCGGTCGAGGGACACGCATGTAAGATTTGTGCACAAAAATGGCAAAACTTGACCTTGTCTACTCAATATTATAGTGTATCAAGCGCAGAAACAAGCTTTAAAAACTCCATAAAGTATAGAAATTCTTCTTCAATACACCTAAACATGTCCGCCTGTTCGTCTGTGCATCTGTCTGCTTGTATTACTTATGGCAAACATTCTACCGCTAGCGAATATGAAGATATCGCCTAACGATTTGCGAAAGAATTTGGAATTGATCTAAAATTTTCAAAGGGCACGCCCGCAACGCCCACATGACTTTACGACAAGAACTTTTATTTTGAAAATAGAAGAAATCAACTGTGCCAGCCTTATGTTATATGGCATGAGAATTTTGTTCTTTTACCTCTTTTGACTTTTCTGGGGGTAAACGGTGATGGAGCATAAACGATTCAATTCCGATCGAGTTTTATTTTCTTACTTGTTTTTTATACGGCTTCCTGTATATATGCAAAAGTAATGCTCTTGTTAATGAATGCAATCTGATGTTACCCATTAATGATGACCAAAGATATTGTGACTGTACCGTTCGATTAGGGGAATGACGAAAGTTCGTGCCTCGGGCAAGGTTCTTTATTGTCGAGACATTTCCCTAAATATCGGACATGTATGTTTTATGATGCAATGCTTAATTGCTTATCTTGAATTCATTTACGGATGTTTGTCATTACTTTGTCTTGTCTCAGAGGTGAAATATTATTATGTGCTTTTATTTAATTGATGCTATTGTCATTCATTATACGACCTTTGATCGTAATTTATCAAAAGTAATTATAATTGCAAGCGAAAAGCTTTTAAAAAATAACCGCGTTGAGAAAATTAGGATCAGCTGTGGCCGACTCTTTCATACCTACATCCTTTTATCTTGAAGAAAAGTAAAAAAAAAAAAAAAAAAAAAAAAACGAGAAAAGACCCGAAAACTTTAGCTACTTTTTAATGTTGGTAGTGGGAGTGGCAAATTATTTTATTTTGCACAGATACTGTAGGGTAACCGATAGAACATACAATGAAATTTCTATTGTTGCATCCGTTATAATCTATTGGTGATGAGCAAGAAACTTAATTGCTTTCGCTTTTGAAAGCAAAGCTGTTTTCTGTGGGTCTAGCTCTTGTTCAATATCAACCTCTTCGCAAGAACTTTCAATGTTATATTCCTATAAATTGAAGGAGGTTATCTTAATTTTATGAATGAGAATATATTTGCCACTAGCCGTCTGAACCGACGAACAGATATGCTTGTGAGATCAAGAATATATGCACTTATATACAGCGCGTTTAAAGCGTTTTTCGAGATGATGCAAACGTCTTAACAAGAGGAATATATGTCCAATTTGTTGCTGTGAGAAATAAAAAAATCGTTTGATTTTATCGTTTTTTGGAATAAGGAAAGAAAGTAGATATAATAACTTAGTTAATCTGTTTGTTGTCCGTCCATCTGTCCAGTCGAAAAAAAAAATTAAATCAAAAACTAAAATAATATGACATTTAAATTCGTGGATCGATGCACATGGGCCTCAGTCGGCGATAAATACGTCCATTATAGCTAAAAAACCGGAATAAATCAAAATTTTTGCTCATTTTTCATAAGTGAAGCCTATCACTTTATGAAATAATTTACTGCAAAATAATCGAAAGTTTAGAACGAAACAACGGTTTCTAGAAGCAACGCCCGCTACTTAAAAGGAAATTATTTATGCGAATACAAGGTTATTATTATGTTTATTCTTTCCTTTTTATATATCACTAGATTCTTTTACATTTCAAAGGAAAATTTATATCCTTTTAACTCTTCTTCTTTTTGCAGATAAGAAAACAACACGCACTATATATGACTTACTATTGCAAACGGAATATTAACTAAAAATGTAAGTACAAAGAAAAAATGTATATAAATTTCACAAATGAACATATAAATCCATAGAAATCCGTATGCCTTGTGGAGGTTGGTTTGAGGAGTGCAATTTGAACAAAAACCAAATGCGAATAACATGTATTTTTAAGTGCTGGCGCATTCAGTTTTATCTAAAAATAGGTCTCAATAATGCATATGTAATATTGCAATATACGCACATAAGCAAGCATACATATGCATATTATATATTCCCACAAATAATCATCTTGCATGTAAGGTACTTAAGTATTATTGCTGAGCCCAGATTTTAGGCAAAAACCAAAAAAAACAGAAAAAAAAAAAAACAAAAACATATGAAAGAAAAAAGTATCATAGCAATTATTTAAACAAAAAAGAAAAAATGAAAAAAGAAGTATAAAGCAATCGTTGCAATAAGTTTCTAGTAAGCAGCAGCACAGAAACCTAAATTTTAAAGTGCTTTTTACGTAGCATAAATTATTTCTATGCATAACATAATGCGTAACGGCAAGAAAATTGAGCATCGCATGTAAGAAGGGAGTGAGCAGCGCTTAATACATCAGATTAAATTAGTTGAATACGTTACCATAAAGCGCCAAGATCTGATTCACCTAAGCGACGCGCCTAGTTGCACGTGGCAAGAGAGCGCGCGCCCACTACCAGCGGACAAACTAGTCCGTATACAGAGAATAAGTTTCTTTTTCAAGATTTATCAATGAAGTTTAACGTTTTAATCAGTATGAGTTTCTGGTCTAGTTTTCTTTTTAATCAGCATGAAATTTTGACCTACTCTTGCCTTAATCGTTTATTAATCATTTATTTACTATTCTTTCAACCCTCGTGGTGCACTCAGATATAGCCGAACATTAAGATGAGCAAATGCATGCTCTTTTTATATCGTTCTTGTATTTTTTGTATTTTCGGTTGCAAGAAAACAGGGAAGACGAGAAGAAGCTTAACGAAAAAGCACAAGGTAGTCGTCAACATTGCAAGCTTCGGTAATGTGAGAGATCCGAAGTAGATGAGTAAATTTACCATTTTGTAGGATTAGTGTACGTCCTTGAACAGAAAAGTACCGAATCATTTTCAACAGATTCCTTCAATGTTAATATGCAACATAGTGTTGTCCATGGATATATAGGGTATAGCAAAATTGACGCAAGATTTGACTTAAATAGAAAACAGAGTTTTCTTATTTTTAATTTCAATTTGTTTATTGAATCATGATGCGTGTAGGATAGCGTTGTGTACGGAATAGCACATGCGGGGAATGCCTTATGCAGTAATTGAGTGTGTGGCATGTGACAGCGCCTTGGTGAAACCACTTGTCATTCCCATCCATACCATCCAATGCAAGCTGGAAGAATTGGGTTATCAACGGCATTCCACGCCAGTAAACATCATTGCTTGATCAGTCTCGTTTTCGAAAAAAGCAAGAAAAAACTTTCATTTTTTCTGTAATGTGGCTCAACGATGGAAGCGCTTTGCTCTCTCGTGTAATGTCCCATTTTTATTAACCCTAAACTGTCAGTTGTCAAACAGTTTTCCTTCTCTTTTTTTTTGGGATCGCTACGCTTTACCGCACAAATGGCGGCCAATTCAAATCTTGCTTAAATTTTGAGACACCCTATGTAATACTCAAAATTTTTTTCTTAAAAAACATAGTCATAAAGCAGGTAATGATCCGAAATTTTTTGATCACTGTTAAGAAAATTCATTCAAATACCTATAATCGCTTTTTCTTTAGTTGGTCTAGTTTTCGCGATCCTGATGACATATACCTACTTCTACGGAAAGGATTTTTTTTGACACTCTGTCTTTGTGGACTTGCCACATCTGTAAAAAAGAAGTTAGGCGCCTGAGATTAGGCGTAGACATCTCTTGATCAGTTAAAAAGGTAAGATTGAAATTTGGGCGTGACCTATGGAAGAAAGTGAAACAATTTCCGGAAAAGGTTATTTTTCATATCTTTGTTTATAACTTTCGATCCCGTGAAGATGTTTTCAGGATCACCTTCGCGCCCAGTCCGAAAATAGTTCCGACAGCTTATTAATAGGGCCACAATTTGCGATCAAATTTTTATTTCAATTTATTTCCCATCTATTTTAACACACATTAGCATTTTTCCGTCCAAATAAATTAGAAATAAATTCAAAGTTAATCAGAATTACAATTTTATTGTAGCATAGTAAGTCGATCGTGGCCATTTTTCGATCTCACCCGACGAACAGGTAGCAGCTTTTCCGAAATATCTTCGAAGGAGATAAACTCAAACAATTATCGTTTGTTGTTTAGCCCCTCGGAATCTATTTTTTAGCCTGGGATTCTTAATCGATCAGTTATGAGTTACGTTTGTGCCTTACCTTCACTTTTGCTACTGTGACATGTCGACCAATGCAAGGAAAAAAATAAGTAAAAGCAAAAGCTCGGTAGTACCTAGTTTTAGAAGGTATTCCAGCAGCAGAGTATTAATAGTGAATTAATATGTTTTTTTTTTGACAACGTCGTAGCCCCAAATTTGTTAATTTTCCCATGACTTGTTCCTGCTTAGATAATGTTGTTCGCTTGAAAGGTGCTTTCTTCCATGTTTCCATGAAATATTCAAAAATGATTGGCTTCGTTTCGGCCCCGCTTGCAAACCCCAAGTCAATTTGCGCATGTACGTCTGGCTATATGCGGAATATCCCTGGTAAATATTGGTTGCAAAAACGAAGCTCTCGGCTTCTCGGATTTGATAGTTCTTGTAATTTGCGAAGGTGGTCGAACGACATCACCACAACAGTGAGGCTTTCACTCTTTACTCGTATCCTACAACGCATTTAGTCACAAATATTTTGATTTATATTCCATATATATTCCAATCTTTCGATATCAGCGCAAAAATGGAAAAGATGCGAAATGTTAATCGTTTGTTAGTTAAATTCGAATTTATCTTTTCATCATTTTTCTTTGTTCTCAAATTAATTACCATAAGTTTATTATTCTGGCCGTCAAATTCCCAGCGTCAGTTTTCCATTCTATGTAAAACAATCGAGAATATATATCAAATATGTATATACATAACACAACGATCAATAATTAGCGTGGCTAATCGCCTGAAAAAATTTATATATATAACTATGCACATATATATTGTATCATAGTAGATAGTGACATGAAAGTTTACTCGAATATTAATGAAAGCTTCTTCCGATCGATTTAATGACACACAACTCTTTGTGCTTAATAAGAAAATTTTTTAGCCCTCTTTGACTTTTCGTTTCTCGGTTTATATCAAGTTTTGAGCTTTCTTAAGTCTATTTACCAGAAAATCTTTGGAAAACTGTTTGCCTCCATAACGGAAATAATAGACCTATCGATCGGTGCAGATCGATACATAAGAATTGTATAGAATTTTGTTAAATGGGGACGTGTCAGTTGGCCTGTTAGAAGAGCATTTTTATTTTTTAATATTTAAATAAGACGAAAGTCGTTCAGAACACAGAACAGATTTTTAAAATTTCCTTAGCTAACTTTTTGCGCTGATCACTAATATACACATTTTCGAGTGTCACGAAACTAAGCAAAAATCCTAATATACTTTATTTTTCGTTGGTGGAAATAAAAATGTACGTAACCGCCGCCTAATTAATTTGTGAATCATGAATGAATCATGTTTTTGAAATTTCCTGCTGGTCTTCATGTTGTTGCTGCACTCACTTCAATTAAATGAAAAGTGCTTTAAAAATCGAGTGTGATTTTGATGAATCGAATAAATAAATGAAATAGTTTTTCATTGAAAGTAACAAGTAGTAGTAAATATATGATAATACATTAAGGCGAATCTTGAATGCTCATCTTGAACACTCATACATCATGGGATACATGTAGAAAAAATTATTTAACTTGTCGTTACTGCGTTGGAAAAACATTAGTGGGCTGATGCGTATGCTATTAATGTATCAATGTATTATCTACGGGATGGATCTGTGCGCTTAAATAGATTTACATAGAGAATTCTCAAATATTTCTAGGCGTAAAGTTTTTATGAAATTTTTCACACGTCTACGCGCTCCAAGTAAATTTCTAGTTGCATTTTACTTACTTACGAATGTTATGCGTGAAAGTGTTTCTCTTGAAAATTATGCGAGTTTGAGAATTCTGATCGAGACTAGGTGGAGGGATGGATAAATTGGAGATGAAGAAAATAACTTCACAAAAATTCATGCGAAATATTGAAAAAAAAAATCTAGTTAATTTTCATTGTATTGTGTGCTGCTGCATGCACATCCTATAAAGTATGATATAATAAACACAAGAAAAAAACCGAAAAACGAAACGAAGATATATTTATTTCTTATTCATTTCTGTTCTTGCTCTAGCTGTTGTCGTTGTTGTTGTTGTTGTTGTTGCTGCTGTCTCTTAAATGTCACGCCAAAAGAGTTTATAACGACGCGACAATATCTTTTACAGATTCAATTTTCTTTTTCTATCGTTCATCTATTCTTAGCGTAAGAAATTGGGTCAAAAACAAAACAAAACACATCGTTTATACAACAGCGAGCAGCCTAAAAAAACAGCAGCAGTTCAAGAAAATTAATGATTAAAAAGCAACAAACATTGTATAAAAATTGTTAAAACAAAAAAAAAAGGAAAACAAAATAAAATTAAATAACAGTTTAAAGAATAACAACAACAACAACAACAACAATCACAACATGTCTTTCACAGTACAACGAGAAGATAGGGCGAATAAAATAATTGTAAATAATGTTGGAAATGAATAAAAGTGCCAAAGACACCATAGTTGGATGTGCAGTTTTTACTGCACTTTTCAGCCGAAAAGGTCATAAGTATTATGTGCAATAAATCAAAAAAAAACAGAGCTTTTTATGGCCACACCAAAAACTTTATTATGAAGATGATTTTCCATACCCTATAGCACTTCTGATGCAAATTATGTCAAGTTGGAGGAGATGATATATGCATTAACATCGAGCACTTTTTATTTAAAAC